CAAAGTACAAAACTAAGCTGTAACCACAAGACTTTGGGAATGTTATCTGTGTTCATGTTTTTAACATGTATTCTCACTTCCTCAGGGTTACCTCAGCAACTTATGCCCTCCAAGCCACATGTACAGCAGACCTTCCAAATATAAGATTTCATCAAAAAGCACAAAGAACAGTAATGTAGACTTGACTGTTATTTAAATGATTATTTTTTAAAATGTGCAGAGACAAAAAACACAACAACTTTCAAAAACGCTTTTTGAGCTGATACATCCTTCTTGTTTCTGTGCTTCAATGAATTCCCACAGCAAGTGAGAGAATGTGGGCTTTTAGTACTGTCAGAAAGTACTAGGAAATCTTCAAAAGTACATCAAAATCTTGCTCTGAAGCAGAAGAGAAGTAATCACGTGTCTGCAGTCTGGGCTACCTGAATATGCAGTGATAGTACCAAAACAGATCAGCTAAGGCCTCTGAGGAACAAGTTTTCATTTGCTGCCTATATGGTCTTGATGCCAGCAGGTTAAGTGACAATTCTGTAGAGCTTGCCCACTCTCTTGGTGAGCTACCTTCTAGGCAGACACATTATTTTGCCTAAAACTGGGGACTCAGAAAGTCATTTGCGATTTTTATCAGCAAAAGCATCCAGTGACTGCCTCTATGATTTTGGCTCCTAGCTGTTCTCTCTGTGCTTGATGGACTAACAATGCTGCTAGAAGCAGATTTGCTCCCCATACATCCCCACTCTCCCTGATAGGTGTAGGTACAATGACAAGGTTTTCACCAAAATTTTTATTATATCAGTTGGATTGTCTGAGGGCAACAGAGAATTTTGCACTGTTAGTGATATCAGCCATGTAGGGTCTGCCCATCACTGATAGCAGACACACAGGAAGATTCATCCTTTAATATTAGTGTTACGTGTCACACTTTTACATCCACTGCTTTAGATTACAAGCAAATACAGAGTGAAAGTAAAAATGGAAATGGACTGAGGAGATGCATCCAGTGCAAAACTTCTATCAGAAATGTCTCTATATGCCTTTCTAAACAGAGTATCCTAGAAAAATTTGGTTCATATATACTGAACCTTCTTTTTCTTCTAGGGTTCATAATGTGTCTACTCCCCAAAATACTCCTAATAACTGGAGCCCTAATTTATTTGAGCCTAAACTCATGGCATGCTGGATCAATGCTCAACAAGAAGAAACAGTGCTGTGTGTGGGCTGACATAGCTTCTGGTAGCAAAAATTATGAGAGCAATTAGCTAGCCACAGATCTAAAAGGTCACTTTACTGGAAGACAGGCTTTGAAACTAATGACAGACTTAAACTTTTTAAATAGTCATTATCAAACCAGTTTGTGAATTCCCACATTAAAGTTGTAAGTCAGATCAAAGTAATTTGTGTTTCCTTTTCATTCACAGCCCAGGAGCAATGCTATAAATTAATACTGAGGAATGGTGAGGAACACATGTTCATATATGCTCATGTAGATGCTCAAAAGTCTCCTACAGAAACTTAAGAACAACACGGCACCCTAGCTTCTTTCCTTCACAGTGCAACATACTATCTTCTACATTGGCAGCTATACTGTTAATATCTAGGGTAGCTACAAATCAACAGGCTGGATGATAAGGAAAGCTGCCTAAAATGCCTGCTTTTCCAAAAGCAATTTTATTGTATCATGGATCACTCCTAATCATGAAAAGACATATAGTGGAGTTTCTTTGACATCTGCATCTGACCTGGTCATCCCAGGCTCTTTTTAGTCAACAAAGGGAAAGAAAGGCAATTCTATAGAGCATGATTCATGGTAGCTGTCTAAAACTGGGCAGCTGAACCAAGTTTTAGCAGTACCTATCTCTCTCCGTTGACTGTAAAGGTGACTCAGAACCTCAGGTGGCTAATTAAAATGCTAATGTCTAAAGTTGGGTGAGGAGGATCCTGCCTATAAAGTCCAAAAAATGCTTTGGAAGGTCTGCAGGGATGCAAGTTACCACTGTCACTAGAGACCTTCCAAAAGAAACAGGCTAAAGCTTCTATACTGCTGCAGGCAAATAAGAAGTCTTATTTTCACTTTCACCCCAGATCAGTACCTGACTACATGAAGTCATCATCACAACAGGTCAGATGGACCTACAACAAAACAAGCCAAGACATACTGAAATGAAAGATGAAAAAAAGGTCTGTGAGAAAGAAAAACACATGTAGTTTGCAGAGAGAGCAGGAAAGGATAGGGGCCTTGATAGCTGAACGATATGCAGGAAAACCAAATTCAGCTACATTCCTGTAAAGCCACCTCTGAAACATAAACACTCTTCCAAGAAAATCCACATTCCCAGATCTTCTCAAAGGATAGATGTTCATGAATCTGCAAACAAGACAGGTATTCTCTTGAATAAGGCAACCCCTCCTCTCAGCTCCAGCAGTACTCCAGAATGGTAGTTTTCTCAGGCATTTTGTAGGGCCAAAGAGATGCAATAGCGGATTCCTCCATCCATGGGTTACCCAAGTCCTACCTCTCCCTTCACCACATACTGCAGAGCAAGAGAAGGAAAGCTTTCTGCTTCTTGCTCCTCTCATTGCTGTAAGACGTTTCTTCTAACAGGAAGGGTGAAACACAGTTAATGCAAAATCTTAGTGGGTTGGGTAAATTCTTTACTACCTAATAAATCTCAGGCCGCCCTACTGAGTTAAGCTGTTAGAACATCCAGCAGGCCCCTCTGTTCATACTGTTGCCCCCTTTGTGCAAATTGTTACCCTCCCAAATGTGTTAGTCTCTAAAGCTTTATAAATTAAAACGAAAGATCAAGTTCACAGGCACATGAGTTACAGTGTGTGATCTAAAAGACGCTGCTCAAGTATGGTGAGAATCAGACTTTTGATCTGTAAAAATGAAACTTAGCTGGAATAAATACATTTGATAACAAAATAAACCAGCACTTCAAAGGCATCATACCCTGCTTGAAGATACTGCACATCAAATAATCACAAATTCCAGCATGAACAATTAAAACACAATTTACTCAAAAATTACTTTGAGCCTTCAGTCATATTTGCCTCCAACCACCAGGAGAGTCTGCAGTACCCACAGGAGGTATTTAAAGAAGAAAGAGAAGACACAAGGAATGATTAAAAGTACCCTTTCAGAGACAGTACATTTTTCCAGTTATGTGTGCTCCCAGATGTATCAGAATTCTCTGAGAATATAAAACAAGGCTCACTCAGCTATCTGTAATGCTCCATTGATTAAACCTCCCAAAGACATTTGTAATCCATATTTCAAACCAAATTATCTCCATTCTTAAGCAATGCTTGCATAAAGCATGGAGTACAATTAAATGTAATAGTTTCCTTAGAAAGCCCACAGAGGAAAACAGAACAGAATAGGTTCAGCAGAAAGTTAAACATTCTGTTTTAAACATAAGGTTTTAACCTAAAGTCACATTCTTTACAAAGTTTCTAGAAAAAAACTTTGTAAAGTTAGTGAGGACAAATGAGTAGGACCCTACACAGGTGGAGCAGGTCATGTAGTACAGCCCTCTGAAGCACTGGGGCTTACCTATTTGTCTCTAATGAAGCAGATGTACTAAATCGAGTCCTGGAAACACTACATTTACCCCACTGTTGCGCAGCAGCAGGGTAATTAATTAACAGTGACATCAATAAAGTCATATGTGAAATGAGTATTAGAAGCAAGTCAGGAACAGATGACAAAACACGCATGTCATATAGTTCGCAAAGGGGAACTACAACCGTAGGAAAGATGACTAGCAAAATCCTGCAAACAGGTTTGAGGGGCAGTCAAGCCGCAGCCATGCTAATCACAGAATCAGAGTAATCTGGGACAGGAAGGGACCTCAAAAAGTCAAGCTGTCTGTCCCAGTTTGGTGGCACCCTGCGTATTTTGTTTGTAGGCTGTATTCCTGCATCCAAATTTTTAATGACAGTTAAGACAGGCTGGATGATACACTGCCTAGAAGACCCTACGGGATACATATTCCCAGTGTGACACTGAATGGATTTAATAACTTCTCTTTTGGTGCACAAGGGATTGAAAAACCACCCCAAGCTTTTGGAGACTGTATTTATGTTACTTCCCCATGGTATTCAAATGAGGGTATCATGCAGGATGGGCCTTCCCAAAGTCAGGAGATGCATCTATTTCTTCCCTAAACCACGTGGCCACATACACCACCAGCAGAGAGATGAAAATCACGTTCCTTGGAAGTCTGTAATGGCCGTTTTGCCACAACCACACCACCTTCTTACATGCTTAGTTTAAGACTGGTAGATTAGCACATTCACATGGTGTATTTTTTGGCCGCTCATGCCAGGCCGCTTGGTCTGCGGTTTCTCCTGCCTGCCTTCACTTTCCCAAAGCAGCCGCCTAAACCAGGGCACCGTGCGTCCCCGGGATCCCACCTGCCTCACGAGGCTGCAGGGAAGCTTTCGCAGTCCTGCCTTGCAAACGATCAATCTCCTACTCGCCCCCTCACGGTCTGGGCACAGTGAAGGTCTGACTCTGGTTAACCCTACCGAAGAGAACAACCAACACCGGGACCCCGCACCGCAGCACGAAATCCCATTCTTCAGCCCACCGAGGCCACGTTTGCCGTCAGAAGGCTCCCCGTCCCGAGGGGGAGGCTTGTGCGTGAGAGTTAGCTCTCGCCACGGGCTTCCCGGCCGGCGAGGCGGCTCGGCGGGTGCTGGCGGGCTCCCCTCTGCGGGCACCCGCGCTGCCCACCCGGGGCTGCCGCCCTCCAAGGGCACCGCAAGCCGTGCCCAGAGCGGGGTCTGCCGCAGCTCCCCACCCCGGGCACCGGTATTTGCCGGCATCATTTCTCACCACAGAGAGTAGGACACCCCGCGCCCCCCGCCACGCCACAGCCAGGCGCCTCACGCTTCCCGCGGCGGCCGCATCTCCGCCCTCCCGCCCCGTCGGGGCCCCGGGCTGGCGCTGGGAGCCCATGGGGGTCCGGCTGATCCCTCCCTGCCCGGCTTACCCTGGCGGGCAGGCGGCGGGGGCCGCCGGCTCCCGGAGACGCTGCGAGCAGGAGGCGCGGGGCGGCTCTGCGGCAGCCCTGCACGGCGGGAGCTCGCCCGCCCTCCGCCTGGGGGGAAGTGGGGCCG